GCGGGCGCGCGTTTCAAGCTGTCGCCGCGACACGCGTGTGTACATAGCACTGAGGGGTTGAGGGCGCGGTGGTGAGCGCGGCTGGTGTACATATCGCGGACGTTTCGCTCGAAATTGTGACGCGCGCGAGAGAACGGAATCGATCCTCTTCTCTCTTCTTCTCTGCCCCCCGACTCCACGGAACGGGGCTGTGCACGGCGGGGCCGAGGTAGTGGCAGGGGTGGAGGGCTCGGTCGGAGAACCGAGGGAAAAAGGCTCGCGTATCTCCCTGGCGCGGCGATAACGAGGTCACAGCCGTGAATCCCGATGGTGTAAATAAGAATAATGTGTACACGGCGGTCTTTAGACGTTTCAAGCCCGAACAGGGAAATAAGGGGTTGCTCGACGCGGGAAAGGGGACGGGGCGAGCGAGCGAGCGCGCGCAAGTCAGGATAAAGACGGACGAACGAAAGAAACGCGCTGTTCAAAGAGGATCCTCTTCTTTCCTCGCTCGCGATGCCTGCCACCCGCCGGAGCAACCGGGTGTTCCCGTTCTACTGTAAACGATTTAGCGAAGAGGAACGAAACTCGAGCATTATCGACATTAATGTAACGCATCTGATTACACGTACGAGCACACGTAACACGCGCCCGTGCGCGCGCCAGCGTACAGATACACATTACACGATATACACACGACAGACACAGGTTTACACGATATACGAGCGTCAAGGTATAATTGATTGACGAATAGCGAGTAGCGTGTGACGGTGAAGAAATTTAGAGATTATTACAAAGTTTTGTAAATAACGACAGAGATATTAATAAAACGATACTTATTCGAAGGAGTCGATGTTGATGGTTTTATTTTCGTCCGATTCTTTCGTGTTGCTTTCGAACCTTTGTCCTTGTCCTTAAAGGTGTTCCTTCAACCTTTGTTCGTAGATGGTTACTACCATTGAAATAAAGATAATATCGAATACTTAGATTTGAAGATTCCAATTATAGTTAGAAAAATTACAAAAGACAACCTATCGAAACCTAAATTTTGCACTCGTGATTCTGTTATCTCAAGATCTCTCTAGTTGATCTGCATGCTGAAAAATCTCCAAAAGGATCACATTTGACCGTATCATTCGCCAAAAGAAAGATCGCGGAGCCCAACAGTAGAAAGGTTGGACATCGACCAGACGAGTTCCGAATTCACTGTCCCCGAGTCCACTCATCGTTCACAATCGAAAATAGGATACACCTTTCCGAAGAGGTTAAGAATGTTTCATTACATCTCCGACTGCCGGGTTTTTCATGCGTGACGAACGATCCTCCGCGGAGCACCATGGAAACACCCTCGCGCTCTGATCTGCGCCGCGTGTTCCTGGCCCTGTAACGTCCTAACCCCCTTAGCTGCACCTACGATTATTAAGGTAAGCCGATCTCCTCGATAGGTGAAGGTTAATGCCGCTCCAGCGCGCAGGTAAAGGACGAAGCCACCAGCCAGTGACTCGGCCTGTTTATTGGATATTTGCGGAGGGTCCGGAGCCCTGGGACTTAAACCCCCTCCTGCCCTCGTCGAAGGGGAGGTCAGGATTCCAACGATTTATCAAGAGCAGCGTGACTAATTGCTCCTGGAAGCGGGCGCAGGTACGACCGGCACGAGTCACGGGGAAAGATCGCAATTCGAGTCGAGGATCATCGGCAACGGAAAATCGCGTTGCAGACTTCCGCGCGGAAACGAGATTAATTAAATAGAGACGAAGTTGTGCCTTTTCGCTTGGCGATCCTCTTGGGGTCTCTTGCTCCAGCCGTTGGGAAATTTGTTGTGCTCCGCTACTGAAACTCGTCTAAAATCTAGTGAATCTAATTTCACATATAGACTCTTCCAAATTCTCATTCTCTTGAACTTAAATACAACTTTGTAGATCGTTCTGGACGATTTGCTTTGGACCTAGGTCCTTCTGGATTCTACTTATCTTCGAATATAGGTTCCTCCGGGTCATCGTTTTGAACTTGACTTGTTTCAATCCCTCTACGTTTATAATTAAGAGCCTTTCCTTTCCAATATCTCTCAATTCTTTTTTCAATTCCCTGAACGATCCTCTAAGTCAACGAAAGACTGCGATCACCTACAATCCTCCGAGTTTAAAATCCGTGGATGTAAGTCGAGTGCAGGTAAAAGTCGAGAAAGGAAAAATACTCGCACGAGTTTCATGCTGGTCTACGTTGGCGCGTGTCGAGCGGCCGCACTCGCGAGCGCAACCGTCTGTCCGCTAGTGTGTGCGTACGTCGCATGACATACGAGATGTCCTGACGGTGACAGGCCTCCGCTTCTGGTGGTCACTCTTATACACTGGTATCCCATATAGCACCCCACACACCCTTCTCTTTCTCTCGGCTCGCCCGCCATTATCATATTTATTAACTGCCGCTCGACGCTTATATCTACACCTATTCGCTGCCATTCCTATATAATATAATCTGTGCCAGTGACAGCAGCACGTGGCACCGTAGCTACCCGCTCCACCCCGTTCACCCTCGCTGGCTCGACGATACTCTCTCTTTCTCTTTACTTCCCGCCCGCCGCCCTTCCTGTCTACCGCCACCCTTCACACCCTTATTACATGGACAGAGGATTTGTTGCTGCCGTTTGATAC